CCACTCAGTTGTAAACTCTTCTTTTAATTTCTCATCAATTGTTTTTAGTTTTGATAATGAGATTTGTTTGTTTCATTTAAAAGATAAGAATGGTTTATATTTTTTAATATCAAATCAAGTCTTTTAAACCATTTACTTTTAATAATTTTATTGACATAGTATGCTTCTTGAAGTAGAGTATTTGTGGAATTTGCAATACGATTGGCATATTTTATCATTTGTTTCTTAATAAAAAAGTCAAGAGGTAATTTTCCCAATTCACTATATATTGCCATGATTGGTGTATTTTTTGAGATACCAAGAATGTACCGATAGTATGTAAGCCAGTGTTCTCCACAATCCAAATTAGCTGGTGGGCGGCCTAATTAGCATAAATTTGCATATCAATTTGCATATCATTTACATCAGAGGTACATTACTTGGGGTTTGCAACTCGCATAGTACTGTATGGTGACATCATGTCAAGATCCCATTCAAGTCTCTTCTCGTAGATAGCGAGACTGAGGCTACGACCTTCTGACATGACGCATATCAATGTTCAAGGTTTGTAATGAAAAAAATAAACTTTTCTTGTCACTATCATAGTGAAAAATGTAATACATCGAAAATGTACAGAAAATATAGTTCTCGTAATCAGTCATATCGTGGGCAGCTATTTTGATCCACCTGGACATCCCAGTATCCTAGTTACCTCGGGCATGCGCATTTGCATTTTTTCTGAGTTGGAACGTTTATGCGAGAGCGAGATTGTGACGGGATCTTGTTATCATGTCACCGTAGTTACAAACCCCAAGTAATGTACCTCTGTTTACATACAGAATTCCCGCATTTATGACATGAACTGCAATACACACTAAGTTATTTACTATTCTCTTTTTAATTTAATTTAATTGGAACATGTTACAATTTTTTGAAATACAAACAGATTGATCACTATCAATATTTACGAAATGCAAAAAGTTTGAAATCAGTGATTTATGCGTTCGCAAATTATTCTGCGTTCATGAAATGCAATTCGAGTAACCAAGAGCAAGTACAAAACATAATTGAGTTATAATGTAGAAAATATACGAGATAATTTGCCCACGAAGCCAAAACGGACAATTTGTCAAAACAAAATCCATAACAATTTTATTTGTGGCATCAGTACTCACCCGTGCCGACGGACGGTAAGATGCATTTACGCATGTACGGCCACGATACGTTGTGTTTTCACACATTGTTTTGAAATTCAAGAAAAAAAATGCTAGCAATCGGCAAAAT